TAAATAAGTAATCATGATAAAGTATAGAATTATTGACTAAGATTTCGCAGTGCATTATTTTTGCATTGAAGTCAATGACTCACCTAATAACCTGAACAGAAGAAGGACAGGTCATTGCACTCGCTCTACGATATTTTTAAATCTTGGAATTTGTACAAAAAACTCTTGTTCATATATTTAGATGTTTGCGTGTGTTTCTATAGATCATGGATTTGTTTATGTTTATTTTATTTTATTTTTAATTGTTTAATTTATTTTTATACATACATATGTATTATTGTCACGATGTGTGTGTGTGTGAGAGCCAAGCTTCGGCACGAATGAGTTGGTTCCACCGGAGTTATACCACGGCCTCACAGAAAACCGGCGTAAAACAAGCACAGCGTTGTGTTTCGCCGTGTGAGTGAGGTTACCAGAGGCCAAAACCTTGCTCTCCCCCATCGCTCCCCAATCTTTTCGAACCCTAATCTTAAAAACCGGCAACACATTCGAAACTCCTCTGGCGTTACGGGTGTCCTTGAGCCGAACCGATTGCTTACCATCAGGTACTTGTAAAAAAAATATTTCTCCCTAAAAATAAATGACCAAAGAGCATCTCCATAGTTTTACTGGCTTTACTGAAAACATGTGTATTTGAATTCAATGCAGTCTTTGACTTTGACGATAAAGTATATAGATTTCTTAATCTGATACACTAGCTATCACTCGGGGAAATACTTGCTTAATTACTCTAATGATTAAGATCAAAAAATATCAAAATATTATAAATACACTCAATTTTATCTGTGTTCCGTGTATATTTTCATACTATACTACTTTTCCTTAACGTGGCTTCAACTGCATGTGGACTTAGGATTTTCTTTTAGTTACGTTTAGACTCCCGATATTTTTGCTGGGGGTATTTAACTTAGAGGTCACTTGAGAGATTAGTCAGATTAACTAATCAACAGCCTTTGAGCTGAAGTAGGAAAAGTATAAATGAAAAAAATCTCTGAAAAGTTATATTTCTAATAGCTAAAGTGTAACTAAATTAACTAAAAATCGCGGGTTACTCACGTGTATAAATTGAGAAAAGCTCTACTAGTTTCGAACCACAGAGAGGTTCTTCCTCGTGAGCAGCGTGCGCGGACGCGGCGACGTCGCGCAGCCTACGTATATGTATATATGTCTCACGATAGTTATTATAAAGACATAGCTAAAGTGTACTTTTATTCAGTCAAGTAGTTTTCAATGCCAACAAAAAATCATTTGTATATGTGTGTGTGTGTTTTTTTTTTAATATAAATTACGAAATTATCACTACAGATTATAAATATAGGTAAAACAAATTCGCTTTTTCTGTCCCTATATCTCCATGTATGGTTAAATCTTTACAACTACGCAACGGATCAATAGATTTTGGTTCGTTTATTTTTTAATAGGGAAAGAGAAAGAGAGAGAGAGAGAGAGAGAGATAAGAGAAAGAGAGAGAGACATAAGATAAATTAAATTGTGGAAAACTTAGTATTGACATTGCATCCGTTTGAATCTGTGGTGGGTCGCTACTATTAAATATTATATAAATAAAATCTTAGTACCAGGTAATAAATATCAGTGTAACTGATAAATCTTTATCAGTATAATTTATCGTAGTTTTCCATTAAATCATAATTAGGTAGCAAAAATAAAATCTGACATAGAGATTGGTATAGATATGAAACACATCTTGATATGATACGAGTATTTTATTAGATTTATGTCAACAATTTATGGTTATTAGGATTATGCTAATTGTTTTATGTAATAAATATTTTCTTTTCTGTTTAAAAAAAAACGTTGCCCCATACTAGGATTTTCTCCTGTATCGTGGGTGCGTTTACAAACATACAATTTCACACACCCAGACCCGGAACGCGACACGTTGCACGGCACCGCACTAACCTTGCAGTCAGTATAAATCATTCGTTATTTCGAGTGAATTGTTCCTTCCAATACACTGAATATAAATACTAAACTAGTTGATCCAGCAAACTTCGTACTGCCTCAAATGTAACTAATTTCTTTTTCTTTTTCTTCTAGACCTTGAAAAACCTTTTTATACCTTGCCTGTAAATCAGAAATAATGAAAGACCACAAAAGCCATGTCGGTCCAGCCTTTCTCGAGTTAAAGCGAGACTAACGAACAGCAATTCATTTTTATATACATATAATGAATAAGAAAATAATAGTAGGTAGCAAACTTGATGAGCAAAATTTTACAATTAATGTTGACAAAATTGTCAACTTCACATTTTATAAAACTAAGCTAGAATCCAGATAAAGGCTTGCAACGATATTATATGTAGAGTCAACCAAAACCTAAAATTTGCCTCAAAAGTCCTTGCTTTTGTTTCAACAGTCAAGTACCGTTAATATATAATATAATTATAGTGAAATGAAATAATATATTCAATATCTAACATAATATAAATTAATACTATTGTAGACTTAAATTAATACTTTCACGAGGTATATGAATATTCAATATCTAACATAATATAAATTAATACTATTGTAGACCCCCTACGCCGTAGCCGTAGCACAAGTAGTCCTCGAAGAGCTACGCCGTAGCAAAGAAAGTGAAAGGAGGTGAAATAATTATGACTTTGCAAGTCCATTCTCTTTTGTACTTTTTATTACAAAATAATAGAGTTGAAAATCTATTAATTTGGCAGATTGGAGTAGACTGTATGCATGAACACAATCAAAATATATTTATTTACCAACAGTTGCGGGAATTCTCATAATATAAAAAAAAATGTAAGTATACCAACATTTTATACATACGTACGAAGTGGAAAGATTTGATTGTTTGTTTTAAAATATTTATTTCTGGATTGAAAAAGGTGTCATCCAAACTTCCAAACTAATAATATAAATGCGAAAGTAACTCTGTCTGTCTGTCTTTTCTTCACGCCTAAACTACTGAACCTATTTGTGTGAAATTTGGTACAGACATAGTTTGTAATTCGAGAAAGGACATACGATAGTTTTTAGACCAAAACTCTGCAGGAAGTCACTATTCCACGCGAACAAAGTTGCGGGCAAAAGGCTAGTATTTAAATAAAAAGGTCATCACATCAGTATTTATCAGTCATTTCCAAAACAAACCATTTCCAGAGATTTTCTTTAAATTCTAAACGGGCAAAGCCGTAGGCAGAAAGTTAGCATGTCGATGTGAACTAAATAATAATAAATGTGTACTGATTACGAGTGCAGCTGTTTTATATGTAGCCTATTTATATGAACTTTGACTTTATCAGAACATTGGAGCCACACTATACATGAATATCTTTGTATATTTATTATAACAAAAAGCATATACTTAAAACAAAAGTAAGGAAACTATAGTCAAAATATCAAAGGTACCTATATCAATAGCGCTGCTGACTGAGCAAAGGCCTCTTCTCACACGGAGAAAGTATGAGCATTAATCACCAGGCTTGCTCAAGGCGAGTTGGCGATTTCAAACTTATAATTAGAAATTATAAGTCCAGGTTTCCTCACGATGTTTACCTTCACCGTATGTCAGTGGTGTCTAAATAATCATAGAAAGTACATATAACTCGCAAAAAGTCACATTGGTACTTGTCACGTTTCGTACTCGCGCACTCATGCATGAGATGCATCTTAACCTCCTGGCTACCATAACTATAAGCTCAGTAGGTCTACTATCAATCTTCAGGGCGAGAAAGAGGGATGGATCTATACACCTTTCATAGCTCCATCCCTCTTTCTCGCCCGGAAAATTGGCGCTTTTAACACGTCATGGTAGGCCCTCAGGAATGGCTGATACAAAAGACGTAGCTAGCTTACGAGTAAAGAACATCAGATCAAGAAAATTGGTCTGAGATCAAAAGCTTTTATTAACTGCGTCGTTGTAACTATTTTCGTCTGTATACTAGCAATGTCGAAACGAAAATAGTTTTCATGCAAATTTCCACTCTAGCATGAAACGCAATTAAGTGTTTTGACATATTTTTTGTGTGTCTATTATTCCTGTTATTATATTTTTTTTATTAGGAATGTCTACCTCAAAAGTTTAGGTTGAAATGGATATAAAAATATGTATGTATATCTTATATTATATTTCATGACGTGAATTAGATTTGGAAACAGCTTAAAATTTGCAAAAGTATTATAATACATGAAAAATCACTACATAGTATAAAGCAACGTTGCGGTCTCTGTCTCTATATCCCTATGTATGTTTAAAACTACGCAACGGATTTTGATGCCGTTTTTGCGTAAATCACCACGCTTAGCTAAATTAGTCACCACTTATTCAAGACGGATTGGCGATTTACAAATTATAAGTCCAGGTTCCTTTACGATGTTTTTTTACCGTATATGTGAGTAATATCTAAATAAACTTAGATACTTATGTACGGAAAAAGTCACATTGGTACTTGCGAGATTTCGGACACCCGATCTTTTTCATAAGAATAGAGATCCTTAACCCATAACGCCACGACAGAACGTATTACCTAAAGTGGTCAAAGTGACCTATTTTCCTTTATTTACTTTTTCTTTACGACTTATACACATAGTCTGTTGACGACATTGCCACTAAGGGGAATGCTTGTATAACAATACAATTCTTGTATTAATAGGTAATTGTTATTTAAATATGGCTTTGTATTTATGTTTATTTTCGCATTAACAAGTGGTACAACAGCTTTTTATTTTAAATGTGTTATTGTATTTTAGTTATATTGTTACTATAATATTATTGTGTATTCTTGTTTTGATTATTTTATATTTGTAAATTGGAATAATATACATATAGACAGCTGATGTATTTATTGATTTATTTTTTGATAACGAAATTTTTAATTAATATTTTTGACACATGATTTTATTTCCTTGCATCCTTTTCTAGTATTATCTATTTATAATAAAGCTACACAAAAAAAACATTAAATAAACAAAAAAAAACACAAATAAAAATATAAAAAAAATAAAAGAAAAAAAATACTCACATTTTCCTTTTCACAATTAAAAAAAAAAAGAAACTACACAAAACAAACGCGAGAGAATATGAAAAAAGAAAAATATTAAACTGAACTACTTAGTTTCACACTACAATTAAATTTTAAACAGCAATTTAGGAGTTGTATTTTTATAAACGGCTACACTCGTGGTGGCTTGCAACTGAATGGTATCATTGTACTATCACAGGCAACTCCCACACAACCAGATAACCGGGCAAACGAATGAAACATTCCATGTACACACTAATATTGATTTATAACATCAATACACAGATTTGGTAACACATAGACTATATTTTACTTTATTCAAGTGTGGTAGAGCCATGCTTCGGCACGAATGGGCCGGCTCGACCGGAGTGATACCACGGCCTCACAGAAGACCGGCGTGAAACAACCACAGCGTTGTGTTTCGCCGTGTGAGTGAGGTTACCGGAGGCCCAATCTTTCCCCGCCCCCAATCCCTCCTCAATCCCTAAATCTCCAAATCCCTAATCCCTAAAAGGTCGGAACGCACTCGTAACTCCTCCGTTGCGGGTGTCCATGGGCGGCGCTGATTGCTTACCATCAGGTAATCCGTATGCTCGTTTGCCGACCAATTACATAAAAATAAATATAACTACATACAAGGGCACCTTTTTTGAACAGGGAAAATCTTCAAATGTCTTCTCTCGCCGAGGGCGAGGCGAGAGGGAGTGTAAGACTCTTACTGACTAAAAACTCCCCCGTTCCTTCTCCTTCTCAAAGCCGAGGTCACGGTACCTCATTGAGAGGGGAAAATCATCAATTGCCTTCTCCCGCCCAGGGCCGGGCGGGAGGGAGTGTCAGACTCTTACTGTGAAAAAAACCCCCCTGTTCCTTTTCCTGCTGTGGGTCGAGGTCGTGGTGCCTCATTGCGCTTACCCCGCAACCCCGGCTGGACCTCATTGAGCTTGACCCGTAACCTATGGTATATAGGGTCACCATATTAGTCCTGGTGGAGGTGGACTACGGACATCAACAAAATCCAAACATGAACATTAATTTTAACTACATGTAATTTTGAAGTTTTAAGAATAGGAAATAAAAAAGATAAGTCAGTCTGTCCATGACTTGAAATGAAAATGAGCGATTAAGAAATTTCAACGTTCCAGTATTTTAGTGGGTTTTTGTGACACGACGGTAAACGAGCAGACGGATTACCTGATGGTAAGCAATCAAGCGCCGTCTTTACAACCGCAACAACGGAGGAGTTACAATTGCGTTGCCAACCTTTTTGGGGAGTAGGGTTTAAGAAATTTATGGAAGAAAGTACGAACTCATAAAATGTCACGTTGGTACTTGCGATGTTTCGAACCGGCATCATCATGCCAGAGAAGCTCTTAACTTCAGGGTTAACACGCATACAAAAATAATTATTTAAAAGTAAAGTTTCATAATATTTTGCACATAACGGTTTGAAATACAAATGAATACATATTGATCATACTAAATTAATTATTACGTTTTCAGGTACTCGCGTAATTGTCTTGACGAGATACTCGACTAGTTTCAAGCCATGCTAGAGGCCCATATTCATGAGCAGCATACCGCGACATGCGACGCGGCGACTGTCTCAAATATTGATCAGTTATTAAAAATAACGGTCATTGGAATTGATCACTGTATATGGATTTTCATGGAAAATAACGTCAATTTTAGTTAGGGTTGTCAGACAACATTAAATAGTTAATTTAGTGGATGCATCCTTGGAAAATCCCAGTATGAGAATAGAATTAACCTTGCATTAGATGCAGGGATTTCAAACAATGGAAATGTATAGCGTCCTGTCACCCTGTCTTCGAGCTGACATAAGTCAAATATTGGAACAGCTCCAACATCGGGATGGAAAACATCTGATTTCGTGTAAACAATCATTTATTACCAAGTTTAAGCGTGTTAAGGGCCAAGGATTATTTATTTATCTTTATATATAAAAAAATACTCTCACGTGTTTGTCCGCGATGGACTCCTAAACTACTAAACCGATTTTAAATTTGATTTGCATTTCGTGTGCATTTTGATCCAACTTGAAAGATAGGATAGCTTACATCTCAATTTATAGTCACAATATTATTTATCTTAGCCACAGCAACGCGTGGCTGGGTCTGCTAGTTTATTATAAAGAGGTAGGCTCACAGCTTATGTATACAAAGTATTTAAAAGTTTTGGTTATATAGGCAGTACCTAAGTCTTATACATTAGCCAGTTACGAACTAACCAACATTTTTAAAATTATGCGTTTGTACAGATTAAATATATAGAAATTATAACTGGAACATTATCCATAAGGAAACGGAGTATTTAATTTTGTTTAGTGTAATTTATTTATTTATTTATTTAAATATAAGCACACCAACAATACAATCACCCAATGTTATACAAAAAACTCAATAATCAAACAATTGAATGCACAAGCAATTGTACAAATTACAGGTGTGATGACATTAAACATGAAAGTTTTTGAGACTTATACAACTAAGTTAAACAAAAAAAAATATGTTAAAGCTATAACGATAGGCATTGTTCACACTGTTTGAGTAGGGAACGTCTTTATGATGCGCGAAGTTGATAATATGGATTGATGTTTTAAAATAATGGTTTTATGGCATATGGTAAGCATACAGCGTCGCCCATGGACACCAACAACATTACAAGTGCGTTATCAGCTTTTGGAGATGGCAAAGTTTTGTTTGGGGATTAGGGTTTCGGTATACGAGATTTGGGGATTATGCCTTCGGTAACAACGCGGTGAACAACAACGAACGTTCTTTCGCTTTGGTTCTCTTTAAGAATGTGGTTTTGTTACGCAACGCAACTTTTATGGCGATGTAGATAAGTACATAATAGACTATGAAGGCGCTTTAAATAGAACTGGCTTCATAAGCCTTTCCCTTTTTTGTGCGGAGAAAATAACCGCATGCCTTCTCTCGGCTGGGACACACACCTATCCTTTAGAGGGAGGAGGTGAGGTGAAAGGGAGTATTAGACTCTTTTCTTGCTCCAGGCAGAGGCCGCGGTACCTTATTAAGCTCGGCCCTCAATCCTGGCTGAACATCAGCCCTGTTAAGCCCCGTCTGTAGTGGTCTATTGGCTCATCATTCATATTAAGCTTGAAATTAAGTACACACAAATAGTCACTATTCGATCGGTAACAGCAAATCACCACATACTTAGGTAGTATAAAATAAAGTAACTTTTTCTGTCCCTTTATCCCTATAATATTATGCTTAAATCTTTTAAATTACGAAACGGATTTTGATGCGGTTTCTTTAATAGATAGAGCCATCAAAGAGAAAGGTTTGATGTATAATAATATCCATTATAACGTGGATTTATTTAGTAATAGAATTGTACCGTTATTGTTGTGTTTGCGAAGCTGGAGGGGTACGCTAGTAAGTTATAATTTGAAACGGAATATTTAATGGATTTTCAACAAATTATATCAGTCAGTAACTACAGTCGTAATTTCCAACAAGCGATGCGTAACAAAATAATTTGACAATATGATAACTTTATCGTTTTTTGTGGATTATGTATATTAATAAATAGGTGGGGTACATACTACCCACTAGTATGAATATACACACACTTCTGAAATAGTAAAATCATATTTCATATCATTTAAAATCGATTATAACCTAATTTATTTGATTTTTTAATAACTATCCATACATAAAAAAACCATTCTAACTGACTTCAAATCAAAACTATTTTAACAGCATAAATCCAGGTTTCATCACGATATTTTACTTCACCATATGTTAAAAATAATCAGCGAAAATACATATAAATTGCATCGATCACTAATAAAGAACTAGATACACAATCCCATACAAAAGTTCGCTTCAAAACTGTCGCCAACTGTATTTAGGTATTAAATACAGTTGGCTTGAAATAAACATGCATTAATGTAAATTAAACCTTAAATGCAACTCATAGAGTTGTTTTTACAAAGTGATGTACAAAATCTTAATACTTTTTGCGACCGAAGCTCTTGACAAACACAAATCATAAGAAATTGAACCATATTCGCATGTTTTTAAGTCGAATTTACAAAGTGTCAAAAATAAGCAATAAAATTTAACGACTTCGGCTCACCGCTAGGACAAAGAATGATTGGAGTCGAAATGTCTCGTAAGAAATATATTTCTTTCGTATTTTATAATTTATCAAAAAAAGAAAATACGCAAATTAAAACGCATTACTTATAGTATTCTTTTCTATAGGTTTGTTCATTTATTTACCAATGAAACTAATGCATATAGTTACAATTCTTTTTTATTATTTTCGTCCTCCTTAATCCTTTCTATTCGAAGTCAAATAAAAAAGATGTAAAATAATAAAAAGAATATATATCTAAAGTAAGTATTGAAAATGTTGGCGTTATTGTTGTCAATTTTTCATATCGAACGGGTCTTGATGAAAGCTAAAAAAAAAATTTCTTTACTGCAGTTCAAATTAAATCCATTACATCTGCCTATTCCATATTTTAATAAACACAGTAAAGAAGTATAATATCAAATAAAAATTATTTTTAATAAAAAAAACAATAAATAAAATTAGAAACAATAGCGTCTCCACTAAACGGAACAAAATCAATCCACGTAAACCGAACAACTTAAGTGGTCATGCTAGAGAATGATTTTAAGTTTAGTCTAAGTGTCTTTATAAACTGTGTGCATCATAACCCCGGTTTTTGAATACGATTTCATTTGGAAAAAGTTTTAAAGTTGATTTCTTAATAAAATATCAATATTTAAAATACAATGATGACAATTATATAATGATAATATTATTACTTAAACGAAACTAAAATATGAAATTCCATCCTTTTTTGCATCTTAGATGTGTGTGTTTTTGCAGTTTTTTAACGAGCACTGAGGCGTGTTTACCGTCGGAGCATTCGAATGGTACTAAACTAAAACTACACCGCGATGTTGAGTTTGGTGGTGAACTAGATACACAATCAGTGACATTTTTTTGTCACTGATTGTGTATCTAGTTCTTTATTAGTGATCGAT